TAAAGAAGTTTATTTTGCTCACAGTTTTAGTCCAAGGTCAACTGACTCCAAGACAGAAACAGGATGGCAGAGGGGCTTGATGGAGGAAAAGGTGTTCAATGTAAAGTGGTCAGGGAGCAGAGAGGGATGGGAGTAGCTGCAGACAAAAATATACCCTTTCAGGTCAGTGGATAAACCCACTGATGAGTACAGAGCACTGTGCTCCAACCACTTTCCAAAAGCCCCACCTTTACCTAACCTATAGCAAAAGCCAAAGTCTGCATTCTCATACAACTCTACATATGAGTCATCTGGCAAATGACTTGGGTTAAATGCAAAGTATAGAAACTGAAATTCTTAGGAATGATGTTGGCCTCAGCTGTCAGTGGGTTACCATTTTATCTATAGATAGTGCTCGGATGAGATCCTGCACAACAATAATAGACTTTTTGATCCTGTATGTAGGAGTTCCTCCATTTGCTAGCCCTTGACTATGGCACTGTGCTTTCTTCCACATCCGCCCAGCAAGTACAGGAGAAGCCTGGATCATGGAACACCCCAATCTAGCTACAGCAGCTGGGGCAAGGGCCGTAGGAAGTATCCACCGTGAGAGGGAAAACAGTAGAGAGATAGTCAAGTGGAAATTCTTGGAGTTTTTCAGTCTTCTAAATCTGTCAGATTTTCAGAAGGGAAAGCTCAGAATGTGTGTTTGGAGAGTTGGTACAAGACACTTCTTTTCTTCCTCAGTGAAATATAATTTGAATTTTTCAGGCTAGGTGCACTGAGATTGCACAGTTGTAAGAAAGTCTCCTTGACCCCTGATCCCTTTTACTCTCAGCCAGGGTCTTCTTATTTCTAAAATGTCAATGAAGCAATATGACTTTACTACATCCTAAGGACACCACAAATTAACGTAAATTTGATCTTTAATATCTTTACCCTTTCTTTACTATTTTTCTTGCTTTCTGGCACATCTCTGTGGTCTCTTCTGCCCTTCTTCAATCTGCTAGTTTCTAGATTGACTCAGACTATCCCGCTGCCCAACACACGTCCTCCACATCCCACTCAGGAAAGCCAAAGCTGGTACAGTAGAGTCCAGGAAAACACAAGCAAGCACAGACTCTTATCCTCGCAGAACACAGCTAGGAAGTCCCAATCCCTCCCTGTCAGTGAGAAATGAGAATTATCTACTACGATCTGACACACCTGTGTTGACTTTGGCTTAAGACTATGGTTCTGAAGAAAGTGGACCTTACAAAAGGACAATGTACCCATTTAAAATTAGGAGTTAGGGAAGAGGAAAATTAGAGTTAGGCTAGAAACAGGGTTCAGTATAAAAAAAAACTTCAAACCACATTGTTAGGATCTCAATGCAATGTTCAAATAGGGGAGGGGGAGGAGAAGTTTGCAAAAATTAACCACCAATTTTGTTGCAGTCTCAGAGCTGCATTTGTGGACATGAACTTACAGTAGTATAATAGAGGTAAAGCCTGGAACATAGTATGCACTAAATAAATAGTGGTCATCATTATTGCCCTACTCAAGAAATGAAGCCATATAGGTACAGAAGGGATAAATAAGGAGTTCAAGGTCCCTAAGAACTGTAACTGAGATATGATTCGCAGCACCATTTGAATCTTAACACCATAGACTGAGCAAGAATCCATGGACTGCTGGTAGGATTCTGTTTCCTAATTTTGGGTCCTTTTCCACCCCTTAGCTAAAAACAACTGATAATACAAATTTTAGGGTGTGACAGTCTTTGGCCTCTCTTCAGTGGTACGCAAGTTAACATACAGAATCTGAAGCATAAGATGAGATGACTCGAAGAACCTCAGCTTTTTTTCCTTCCACAATATATTAAAGCTAATAAACCAAGAAATTAGTTTGTCTTCAAGGTTGTCTGCTCCAGGGTTGTCTGTAGCTTAGCAATATCTCACTACCGTCATCATTCATTGGGTTCGAAGAGGAAAAAGTTACAAAGGAAGTCTGAGAAACTCCAGTCTTGCGTCTTGTTTTCATGGTTCCAATTTTTTAATTCATTGCTGATATATAGACATAAATACACTGAACACTGCCTGGAAAGTGCAGACAGATAAGAGTAATGAATCTTCCAGTAAAATAGTCATATGGTGGGAAACCAGTGATAGAGAAGAATGCAAGAGACCACCATCTCTTTTTCACCTGGATTAGTCAAGATAAGGTAGGCTCTGTTGCAATAACAAATCAGGACCCAAATCTCAGTATCTTAATACCACACAGGTTTATTTGTTGCCATGTCATCTATAATATATGTGACCACCGTAGAGGAAGAGAAATTGTGCAGATAGGAATTTTGATCTTGAAAACCTCACTTGGAAATGAATCATGCCACTGCACTTCCATGGCCTTAATGAGAACTTGTCATGTGATATAACCCACCTGAAAGATAACTAGATATAGTCCACACAGCTAAGAAGTGGAAATGGCATTATAAGCAATAGTCATCACTAGCACATATAACACCTTTTCCCTTGTGTGCTGCTGAGGCCTACCCATAACCCATCACTTCTCTTCGGCCTCTCCACCCACAAGAAAAATCTCTCCCAGGTGTTATACCTGTCCAGCTGTCCCTCTGTTTCTACACCTGCAAGTTCAGCATTGAGGCAAACTAGAGCATGGATTGTAGCCCTAGAGAGTGAGGAAGAGTGACACCCTTTCTAGAGCTGCCAACTAAGCCAAGCCTTTAACTGTTTTCTTTCTGATTCTTAAATCACTCGTGTGGGATTTAGTATAACCCCTCATTTACAGATAAATAGAAAACTAGAAAGATGTGTATTTTAAAATGATACAGCTACTAAGTAAAACAAAATGCTGACTTACAACTTCATGTATTTGGTTAGTGTTTAGCAAATATTTATTAAGTACAACTAATATTGACATGTGCTCCCTATTCTCTAGAAGTTAAGAATTTCATCTTTCAATTGGGATGCTCTTAGGGTTTGGACAGAAAATGTTTTCACCATCTATAAACCCAAAACAGTAACACCATTTATTTCAAAGGGCTAATGCAGGAATTTGATGTGTTAATGAACCTGCTTAGTGCAATGTCTGGCATGTAATAAGCACTCACAGTGTAGTAACTGGTGAGAGGACCAATTGATGTGTATCAATACAGTGTTACCAGGGCCATGAGGACCGTAAGTGCAGGATGCTGTCAGAGCATGGAGAAGGGAGATGTTAATCAACTTACTATACACTTTCCCACTGTGCGTGGACACTAAGCCATATTTTGAAAAAAAGGATGAAAATGATCCTATCGAACAAGGCAGGAGTGTAAGGCAGAACGGTGTTAAGAATCAAAGAGGTAGATACACAGATTGCTGGAGGCAAAAAAGTGTGCAGCCAAATGTGAATGGGACAAAGCAAAGGCTGGGTGGCCAAGACACCAGTGTTAGCAGAAGCAGTTAGGATATTCAGAAGTGAAGCAGACGAAGCATGAGTGGTCAGGTCATCCAGGACTCTGAAGTATTTTCCTGGAAAAAGCACTCTAGTTGCAGCTCAGCCAATGAATGAGAGAGAAGACTAAAGCAGAGACAAGGTTGCAGAATGACAACAATTAGGATGCTGCTCAAAGAGGCCAGGTCAGAATATGAGTCATTTCTTCTGTCAAATCTTTTGTTTGTTTCTTTGACATGTGTTACCAATAGTCCTTGTCTTGCCATCCTGGACAGATTGAATGGGGCTAATAAAAACAACCACTTACCACAGGGCTTAGCACTTTTCTGCAAAAGGGTAGATAGTAAATATTGTCAGCTTTGCAGGGCTGATGCTATTTGTCACACATACCAAGTTTGCCATTAAAGCACAAAAGCAATCATAGATAATGCGTATAAGTGTAATTGTGTTGAATATGATTTTGTTTACATACACTAAAATTTGAATTTTATTCAGTTTCTGATATGTCTCATTATTCTATTCTTATTTTTCCCAAATATTAAAAAAAATATTAACATTTTTGTGCCACTCAGGGAATAGGCAGTAAGAGCTGTGTTTCACCATAAGCTGTCATTTGCTGACCCCTGACTTAGAATGTGTTTTGGAACTGTTTACTCATGGTTGCATTTTATAGTGCCTCATGACTGTTGATCAAGCTTGCTACTTGCATTATTCTTGAAATGATAAAGTTCCTATTTATCACTTAGTCTGCAAAGCCCTACCTCTTTCTATTTTGCATGAGGATTTTCTGAAGTTTTGTTGATGAATGGCTAGAGACCCTTGTAGCCTCTGATCAAGCATAAAAACCTTCTAGGCTTTTTGCTTTCTTCAGAGGCAGGTACTAGACCTATTAAAGCCATGCAAACCAGGGTTTGGACAGAGCCTCTGCCCGGTACTAGTTTTGCAATTTTGAGCAAATTATACTTAACATTTATCCAAGGCTCACAAGACTGAAGGAAGGAACAAAAAAATTGGAGGCTAACTGAATGATTCAAGTAAAAACACAAGGGTGGACTGAACTAAGTGGGGATGGAGAGAAAAAAGAGACTTCAAGAGAAGTTTTTGGGTAAAATTAGTAAGACCTCATTGTTGATTTTTATATAGCAGACAAGAGGGAATATTGAATAAAGGGAGTGCCTAGATTTTTAGACTAAGATGCTTGCTACATGGGTGGTAGTGCCATTTACAAAGAAAATGAGGGCTGGAGAAAATGAAATTTGACTGGAAAAATGCCATGTTCATTTATAATACTACTGACCTTTATGAGTTGTCCTAAGTCTTAGAAACATTATATGTGAGCAGTCTGGCAGAGTACCTGGCATGCCATGGGTACTTGATAAATGGTGGCTTTTATGCTTGTTTCATTTTTAAAAATCTATTTTAGGCCCCTGTTTTATTAAATCATGATGTTCTTTTGCTGCTTAATGTGAGCTCTTCAGAGCCACAAGACTTGCAGTTTTGTTCACCGTACCTCACGTTTTCATGTGTTTCTTTCTCTCCTTCTCTTCTGCATGCTGCCTGGGGATTGGCTTCCTTGTGGTCAGCACCAATGGGCAGCGCCCAGGTGACCCCGGGGACTCCACTCTGCCTCCTCACCACAGGTGATCACCAGAGCCCTGGGCAGGTGGGAGGGGATCAAGAGTGGCCCATGCACAGAGGGTCCTCTGGGCCCTGTGCATCAGAGAGGAACTGGAAGCCCCCCCCCACTCCACCCTCTTATCCACACACCCACCCATCCATGCAGCCACCCTTCAATCATCCATCCACCCACCATCCATTTACCCATCCAACCATGCATCCCTGTATCCATCCATCCATTTATTCATCCATCTGTTAATCCATTTTATAATGCTTACTAAATACCTATTATGTGTCAGGCACTTTTCTAGATACTGAAGAATACAATAATAAGGACAAGAGTATACTATATGTTCATATGGCTTTCTAGAAGGAGAAACAGTCACTGGTTTAAAAAATACACAAATGTGCAAATGTAAATAATGCTATGAAACACAGGTCATAGTGTTCAAAAATGCATGTGACTCTGAGGGAATGTTTTACAGAGCTGTGATCTGAGGTTGGAAAAGAATTGACTTAGCAAGTCTGTTCTTGGGACATTTGGCCACAATCTCCCTTAAAGGTAACCAGCCCACTTTTCTTACCTGTTAAGTGGGAGTTATAATATATACATCTTAAGAGACACTATTTGCACTGCAGGTTTTATATATGCAGAGTCTTCTAAAGGTGTATTCTGATGCGAAACAAGATGATAAATGTCAAAAGAGCTGGTATAAGAAGGACCAGGCTAGACATGTTTGAAGCACAGTGTAGATAGATCTCATTTCACATAAACATGTTTCATTCTTCAGAAGATGCAAAGCCCATCCATGCCAGAGATTGCTGCTCATCACAGAGCCCTAGAGATAAAAGGCAACCCACGAAGCAAGAGATCTTCCGTCTTTTAGGGACCTTTTCTGCTCATGTGGGAAGTTTCAAGCCTTTAACTGTCATCACTCTCAAAGTTCTTGCCCAGACATGACTTCCTCTCTACCAGTCCCTAACTGGTTAGTTTAGCAATGTGGAAAAGAAAATAGGGCAGTCAGTGAAGACAGGAATCCCGCCTTTTGCTATTGCATAGTGAACTCCTGTTACCTCCTTTCCCAAATGGAGACACATTGCTGCTAGTGAATGTCTCAGACTGGGCTCCCTGAGCATTGGGTGTGTGATGGGGGGTTATTGTGCACATCATTCATTGAGAGATGCTCTCAGAAGAAAGGGAAGGAAATGCAGTGAGTCAAAAGGCAAAGTTAGAGGAAAACATGGAGACCTGAATCAGTCTGAGCTCCACATGTGTCTGGAGTGAATTGTTCTACAGAGTTGGTTTCTACCTTGAGGAAAGAGGACCAACATTTGTATTATGGTGTCAGTCAGCCATTGGCTACGGGTTGCCGTGAGATGTGTGGCCTCCTGAGATGATTCCCTCAGCCTTATGAAACTTCTCTAGGGCAGGAGGTATTGTGAGCAATTTGCAGCCAGCGCTCACAACAGCTACAGAGTAGGTGCACCAGGCAGTAAGGCAGATTTGGGCAGAGCCTCAGTAGCTCCTGCTATAGCCCAGTTTTGTATGTCTGCCTCTGTACTGCTGTGAGGTGGTATGTCACCACCAATTGCTCAAGCATTCTATCTTATTTGAATCTCTGAAGTTAAATAGCCTTATTTCACCTGGAATTATCACTAATTATCGTATTTACTTTCTAGTCATATTAAAGAAAGATTAAACTCAGTAACCCTAGAGTGCCCTGTGCAGCAGCAGTCTCACTTTTCCCCAAGAGAAGGGAGTCACAGATAAAACCATGAGAACATGCGGAAAGACAGTGAGAGACAAGTTCTTGCCACTGTGCCCACACTTGGCTTATGGAGAAACACTGCATCTCTGGACTGTGTGCATGCAGGTCCATTTCTCCTGAGCTTTATTGTTCTTTGAGCTTTATTCATTGTTCTCTGAGCTTTGTTCAGGTTGAGCCATTAGATAATGTTTGCTTTAAGCAAAGCCAATCCCATATCAGGCACATTTGTTCTTACCTCTTGTCTTCCGAGGTGTCTGAATGCTCCTGCTCTGACAGGTTTATTTCATTGGGTTCCTTTTTTTCTACCTTTTTCTTAGTTTCATTTGACAGGTGAGGTGTCTTTCTCTTTGAGCAGGCTGTCCCTTTCAAAGGGTGATTTTGGTAATGTCTGTCCCGTGGTAGCAGTAATGGCTGATGTAAATAGTAACTGCCTGGCTCTGAGTGGCGGGGATATTAGATGTAAGCACAGACCACTCAGATCATAGCAGCTCCATCCTGGAGACCTGCACAGCCACAGGAGGTCTCAGGGACAGGCTGGCTTTTGGGATGAGTTGAGGCTGAGTTCACCTCTCAGCTCTGCCATTTTCCAGTCCAGTGACCATCAGTGAGTTATGTCTCTTCTTTGGACCCCATTTTTTTCATGTAAAGAAATGGAGCTAACAATACCTACAGCCATATTTAAGTATAAAAACTGGTGTGAATGCAACTGTAACTTCTTCCACAGCTAAATACCACTAAGTTTTCATATTCCTTTAAGGACTTCATGTTCTAGAATCCAGAACAAGGTATCTAACCTAAAAACTCTTAATATCTAGGATTAGAAATACTTTTTTTCCATGAAGAGCTACTCTGTACACTATAGAATGGTGAGCAGCATCTCTAGTTTATCCATGAGATGCCAGGATTGTACCAACCTCATTGTGACTACCAAATACATCCCCAGACATACTCAAATGTTTCCTGATTTGAAATAATCCTCTATTAAAATCTCCAGGACCACTGTTTAATAGAAATATAATTTGTTGTACAGATGTGATTTTTAATTTTTGGAGTGACATTTGAAAAGTAAAACAAAAAATTGCATTAATTTAATAATGTAATTTATATAACCTAATATTCACAAAATATCATTTTAAGAAGTAACCCGTATTTTAAAAACTGGAGAGTAGGAATGGGAAAGTGGTTAAAAAAAAAAGACAAAATGTGTTCTGTACATGTATTAGCTCCCCACAATGAATGCAGTCATTACATTCTGCAAGCAGGTACTAAAAATAACTATTAATGAATGATGTTTTACATTCTTTTTTACACCTAGTCTGAGATCTGGTTTGTTTTTCCCATTTAGCGCATGTTTCCATTCAGATGCTAAGTCTTAAATGGTTAAAATGAAATACAGCCCTGAAAAGATTAAAAACCATGTGCAACAAGTAAACATAATTTTCATTGCTTTGATTTTTAAGTATAAGTTAGTTGAAATAAAATGAGCTTTAAAATTGAATGCCTCTATCATCCTAGCCAAATTTGAAGTTCTCAGAAAGCACCTGGCTTAGTGACTACCAGTTTGAACAGCACAAACCTTAAAGGGGAAGCACATCTTTGTCCTTTAGGTCCCTGGTTGGTGAGCACAGGAGCATATATACATGGTGTCAAGGCTCCACAGAGTTCAGTTCCCTTTATTCCATTATGCCCTTCCTCCCAGATCATGGGTCAATGTCTGGAGAATGCGTTGGGTTGGAGTAACAGGCCTCTAGTGGGTAGAAGCCAAGGATCTTAGCACTGAGAGAAATAGGCAGAAGCTTCTCTAGCCAGGGTTGATATTTTTTTGGACTGGGCTGACTTGAGGCTGCAGTGGGCAAGTGACCAATTTGCTGTTTCTCCTAATAAGACTTGGTCTATCTTAGATCACCGCTGTAGAAGCCACGTCTCTTCTCTGACCCTTCCTAAAGCTCAGCCAGGTTACTCCTAGACCCAATATGAGATTGACAGTGTTTAGTCTGGAGCACAGAATTGTTGCCCTAAAGATCACCTCCAGGGGTTCCAGTGGTCACTGTCACTTCTGCACAAGGTAAAGGGCCTTGGGAAAATTCCCCTGTTCCTTAAAATTAGGGAATCTCGAGCAAATCTCTCAGTTTTTCTGAGCATCAGCTTCCTCATCTATGAAATCATAATAAAGATGAGTCCTGACCTGGCCAGGCTCAGTCATAGTAAGGACCAACAGAAGAAATGGGTCAGTCCTGGGCCAGCTCCAGGTTTGAAAGGGACAGTTCCTTTTATCATTCCTTGCTTCCCTATGAACCTCATATTAAAAATATCTAGTGTCAGTTCTTTGTCTGGTCTTCAAATTAGGGCCTTGCTGCAGTGACTTGATTTAAACCATAATGCCCTCTCCAGGAGTGATTTGCAAATGCCCCTAAGTAACTTTTCTAGGGTTAGTGTGAAAATCCTGGACCCAAGTGGAAAGAGTTTCAGTCTTTGGGACAAGACTGCGTAGGCAGAGAGGACCTGAGGAAATAGCACAGCAGCCCAAGCAGGGTCACTGCTTGGGCCTTGCAGGCTTTGACACACTAGGGCCCCCACTATCCTCTCAGGGACTTGTGCTTTGGTAGGAGTTAATGGATGAAAATAGGAGCAGGAGACAGGAGAACCAGATAAAGCTCTAACATGAGCACCCACCATGGTGCACTATGCTTGGTGGGAAGAGGGGAGACAGACAGGCAGGATGACCCTGGCTCCTATAATATCCCAAGGCAAGAGAGCAATCAAGAGCTGAGGTGACGTGGTGCTGAGGACCCTGAGCCTTTAACCTCAGTGTCTCCAGTCTCCCCTAAGTCCTGAGTTAGTCTGCACATTCTAGGGCTATACCTGCAGATTAGGAGCAGAAGCCACAACTGTGGGTCAGAGAAGTAGATGACATCAAACAGTCCAGTAATCACTGCAGAGGACCTTCTGCAGCTCCCCTGTTGTGCTCCTCAAGTGGCTGCAGGGCTGACTTTTCAGAGCAGGGTGAGAGGAGGGGTGCAGATATTCAGAGCTTATCAAAGGCAAGGCTGTAGGTACATCATTCTGGCTGCATCCTGTGTTATCTGAATCTCACTCTGAATCATTAGGCTCAGTGCAGAGGAGGGGTCTCAAGTCCATTGTGGGGTGTTCTCCTGTGGCAGGTAAATGTTATACTTCTTGCCAAACAAGCCTCTAATCATGAGCATCTGTGAATGAGATTTTCGTGGCACCTATCTCTCCCCTGAGATATTTTC